GATAACGAAGCAAGTAATATTTCAATAAAAAATTAAAAATATCTTAATTTAATTCTATTCATTTATATCTTAATTAATATCTTAATTACGAGGCATGCACTTATATCTTCAAAAAATAAAGAAATAAAAGATATTTAAAAAAAAATTTAAATAAAATACATTTGCACTCTTGAGTGTCGTCAAACTCATCAACATTGCATAACTCGATACACGGATCCATCCACACGGATACACACATGCGAAAACACGTTCGAAGCAGATGCGCCAAGGATAAAAATTCCGATGATAAGATTGATGTGTGGTATCCAACTGCGTTGGTCCATCGATCTGAAGCCGTCGCGAGTTGTGGTAGGGCTGTGTCGAGGCTTTCTCCTTCTGTTATCCGTTTTCTTCGATCCATTCAGCTGAAAAGGGAGGAAAAGGGTCAGGTGGGTAAGACCTTGAACGTTGCTGCGTTTTCGTAACCGAATTTTTCCATCAAAGGAAAGGATCCAAATAGATTGCCAAATCTCGTTTGATCAATCAAAAGTCGAATTTTTTTTTACGTAAAAATCCTGTTTCCAAAAGTATTTTCGGTTCGAAGAAAATATTATAGAAAACTTGATTTTAGAGAGATGATCTTTGGATATATTTATTATCTCGAGTGACGTGGAAGTGAAATTAGGGATTAAAAAGATTTTGGGATCGAGCATGAGGATCAATTTATTCTGATTTTCCAAATTAAAATTTAATTAAAAAAATTTATTTAATATTATAATAATTTATATATAATAATAATTAATATTATATCTAATAAAATTTAATATTGTCTACTATCCGATAATAATTTAAAGAAAATTGCATTTTGTATCTATAAGAAATAATTGATTGAATTCTAAATATAAATGTTGATAGAAATTACGAAATAAATAATTGTTCAATATCACGGAAAGTATATTTCGAATAAAAGAGAGACTGCATTGACTCAGGAAGAGCTCGTAATTAATTTAATGAGGTCTTGATTACGAAAAAATGATTATTTATTAGCGTGCATCGTTAAAGACTGCATTTGTATCAACGGCGTTACGGTATTATTATTCTGCAAGCACGTGTCAGGGTCACCTTCTGCGAATTTTGCTACACGCGTGTGTATTCGAGCTTCACGCTCAAAATAATTTTTTTCCAGAAAATTACAGCATCGGGGATAGAAAGGATGTTCTTCTGCATTCCTTGCATGTCTTCGTTCCATCGGAACGTGCAATCGGTTATTACAGCCTTCGGATCTATTTCAACCTAATCGCATTTTCATTTCGTAGAAACGATCGACTGATATGCTTTTTTTTTTTTTTTAATGTTTTAGTTGAAACATCGAGTAATAGAATCATTAAATATTCAATACAACGGCACATTTCATTCCGAACAATGTTTGTAATCAAAGGATTCTCATTGTTAAATTAGAATTAAAATTCTATTTTGCATTTCAAATTTCTTCCATTCGAATTTTTATTCAAAATTTTACACGCAGAATGTAATATTTTTGTATATACATATATTTTTACATTTCAATCTTGATGCATAAAATGAATAGGAGGCAAAATAATAAAAAATATTTCGATAAGAAACATTTCTTCTTAAGAAATAAATTTCTTCTTCGTGAAATCATTTCGAAGAGAAAGAGGAATTTAAAATATAGTTTCGAAGGCACGAAAGATCTGTCAACTGCACCTTATCCCTAATCCAATAAGTCCGAATTCTATAGAATTTAATCAGTTGCCTAAGCACAAAAACCTGGCACAAGTTTTGCTCGCCATCAGGTTAACTGCCCCGGGTTAACCATCTCGATGAATTTTTGGAGGGAGGCTGAGATGAGGATGTCCCGTAATAATCGTCGATACATGCGAAATTCGAAAATTTCCAGGCAAAGCAGATGGCGTGGCCTTTCGCGGAAGTGATCGTTCTCTCTTCTTAAACACCGGCGTTTTCTTCGTCCCTGCGTGCTCAGGGGCGTACCTACCCCGCGGGCTCCTCTACCTGCTTCTGATTTCCCCTTCATCTCTTTTCTCTTTTTTTCATCAATCTTTCGAATTCGTCTCGTCTTTTCTTTTATCTATAATTTTTTCCATTCTAAATTCTTCGATACTTTTATCGCGTGCTTGATTCGTAAAAAATAAAAAGCTTGTTGCAATGTTCTTAAGAGAGATTTCAAAAATTGAAGAACAATGAAAAGATGCTAATTTCATATAGAAGTATTATATTAGGAGTAAGTTAATAGAAACAAATGAAAGTTCAAAGAATTATACAATAACTGATTACAATTAACTGCTTATCAGAATTAGAGTTATTCGATTATGATATTGAATAAAAAGGAAATAAAAATTTTTCGAAACTTTGCAGATTTTAGAATTGAAAAAAAATTCTAGAAAAACACGGTTAGAGTAATAGAATAATCCAAAAGACAAACATAGCATAAAAAGGGTTAAGTTTGTCCTTTCTCTCTTTTTTTTTCGTTCTTCCATCAACGTTCTTCTTCTTCCTCGTCACTCTTACGTCCTCCTCCTTTCTATCAATCAAAGGTCCATTCGCCCTTGCTTCCCGAACACCATGGCTTCCGTCCTCG